TACAACTCACAAATTCAAGGTCAATGCCTACAACCCTTCCAGTATTTTCTGTTGGTCGTGGGAGTTCTGTCTGCCAAATTTGGTTCAATTCCATCATTGGTGGAGTTCAGAATGCTCTTTGATTGTAGCTGAACTAGAAATCCCAGCAACTACAACTCCCAAATGGCAAAATCAACCCCCCTCCCAACCCCACCAGTATTCAAATTTGGGTGTATTGGGTTTTTGTGCCAAATGTGGCCCAGTGAATTAAAATAAATCCTGCATATCAGATATTTACATGATGATTCATAACATCATGTTATGGTTGGGGGTCACCACAACACGAGGAACTGTATTAAGGGGTCGCGGCATTTGGAAGGTTGAGAACCACTGCAATAGAGTTTCTGGTTGCTTGAGAGTTGCTATAGTGTATAGCATCCCCCAAACTATACCATAAACTCTGTATAGACTTGATATTCATATTGAAATACAGTAATGGAAAGACTTAATGTAACACAACGTATTGTCGAAGGCTTTCATGGCTAGAATCACTGGGTTGTTGTAGGTATTTCGAGCTATATGACCATGTTCTAGAAGCATTCTCTCCTGACGTTTCGCCTGCATCTATGGCAAACATCCTCAGAGGTTGGGAGATTATTGTAACACAGTTTTGCTGCTTTACTGTATTATAAGTAATATATAATACAGTATAGATGACATGATGGCAACAGTCTTGGAGAGCAATGGCTCCCAAAGTGACCCATTTAAGGTGGAATCAGGTGTGAAACAGGGATGTGTTATTACCCCAACCTTATTTTCCAACTTCATTGCTATGATACTTCATCTTGTTGATGGGAAGCTTCCCACCGGAGTGGAAACCATCTATTGGACAGCTATTTAAACTCAGCAGACTGAAAACCAAAACCAAGGTCACAACAAAATCTGTTATAGAACTCCAGTATGCAGATGATAACGTAGTCTGTGCATTCAGAAGAAGATCTACAAGCCAATCTTTCCAGGATCATACGAGAAGCTCGGCCTGTTGTTGAACATTGAGAAAACCGAAGTATACCTTGGCAGCCACTTCTCCACAAAAGTCAACATTGACACTGAAATACAACATCACCTGAGCTCTGCAAGTGCAGCATTCTTCCGAATGAAGAAGAGTGTTTGAGGACTGGGACATCCGTAGGGAGACTAAGGTGCTTGCTTATAAATCTATTTCTGCTCCCTTGGCAGCCACCTCTCCACAAAAGTCAACATTGACACTGAAATACAACACCACCTGAGCTCTGCGAGTGCAGCATTTTTCCGAATGAAGCAGTGAGTGTTTGAGGATCAGGACATCCATAGGGAGACCAAGGTCCTTGTTTATAAATCTATTTCCGCTCCCTTGGTAGCCACCTCTCCACAAAAGTCAACATTGACTCTGAAATACAACACCGCCTGAGCTCTGCGAGTGCAGCATTTTTCCGAATGAAGCAGTGAGTGTTTGAGGATCAGGACATCCATAGGGAGACCAAGGTCCTTGTTTATAAATCTATTTCCGCTCCCTTGGTAGCCACCTCTCCACAAAAGTCAACATTGACTCTGAAATACAACACCGCCTGAGCTCTGCGAGTGCAGCATTCTTCCGAATGAAGCAGAGAGTGTTTGAGGACCGGGACATCCATACGGATACCAAGGAGCTTGTTTATAAAGCTATTTCAGCTCACTTCGCAGCCACTTCTCCACAAAAGTACACATTGACACTGAAATACAACACCGCCTGAGCTCTGCGAGTGCAGCATTCTTCTGAATGAAGCAGAGAGTGTTTGAGGACCGGGACATCTTTGGGAGACCAAGGTGTTTGTTTACGAAGCCATTGTCTTCCCAACCCTGCTGTGGCAGCCACCTCTCCACAAAAGTCAACATTGACGCTGAAATTCAATACCGCCTGAGCTCTGCAAGTGCAGCATTCTTCCAAATGAAGCAGAGAGTGTTTGAGGACTAAGGGACTTGTTTGTAAAGCTATTGTCCTCCCAACCCTGCTATACACCAGCGACATGTGGACAGTCTACAGAAGTCAGATGCAACTCCTGGAATGATTCCATCAGCGCTGCCTCTGGAAAATCCTGCAAATTTCTTGGATAGACAAGCGGACAAATGTCAGCATGCTGGAGGAAGCAAAGACCACAACATTGAAGCAATAGTCCTCCGCCATCAACTCCACTGGACTAAATGCCATGTTATCCAAATGCCTGACCACCGTCTCCCAAAGCAGTTGGTCTACTCCGAACTCAAGAACGGAAAACGGAATGTTGGTGGATAGGAAAAGAGATTTAAAGACGGGCTCAAAACCAACCTTAAAAACTCCGGCATAGACACTGAGAACTGGGAAGCCCTGGCCCTTGAGCGCTCCAGCTGGAGGTCAGCTGTGACCAGCAGTGCTGCAGAATTTGACGAGGCACGAATGGAGGGAGAAAGAGAGAAACGTGCCAAGAGGAAGGCACGTCAAGTCAACCCTGACCGGGACCGCCTTCCACCTGGAAACTGATGCCCACTGATCTTGGAAGACAATCCTACTCGGACAACGAGGGATCGCCTAAGACACCCAATATAGGCTTCTGCTCTCAGATCCAACACAGTATGGTGCTTTTTTCCTCCGCTTTGCCAAAGTATGAGGAAAGTGTACCTTGTGGTTTTCCTGTCGGCAGCATCGACTTCAGCGTTAACCTTCCTGTACAGAAAAAGAAAAAGAAAAACCGAAAGTACTTTTAAAGTCACTTTAACAACTAAAGTCATCGGTAGTTAAGACTATTTTCCCCTTGAAAAGGGTATATTTAGGCTTTATTTTGGGATCCAATTGGGTTCTGTGTGTAGCACGAGGAGCTCAAGACTGTAAATAAGGAACACAGCACAGAAACAGGAGAACTCCAGTCAGCAAACAACCAAGGGCCAGTTAACACACCTCCCAAACAGAGGGTGCCTCCAGGCAACAGAGGCCAGGATAGCTCTATGCAGATACCCTCACTGATTGACTTTGCAGCTTCATGGCTACTCAAATGCTATTCAAGCTTGCTCATTGCAACATCCAAACTTGCTTTGCACAGACAAGGGTTCTTTCTCTCACCCTGGATACTATTCCACGATACACACACACTCCACTTGCTTCACTACCTCTATGCAGATACCCTCACTGATTGACTTTGCAGCTGCAAGGCTATTCAGTGCTATTCAAGCTTGCTCATTGCAACATCAACACTTGCTTTGCACAGACAAAAGTTCTTTCTCCCACCCTGGATATTATTCCACAGCTATATTATATAAACCCACTTGTTACCGCTATGCAGATACCCTCTCGGATTGACTTTGCAGCTGCATGGCTACTCAATGCTATTCAAGCTTGCTCATTGCAACATTTACACTTGCTTTGAACTGACAAGGATTCTTTCTCCCACCCTGGATATTATTCCACAATACGCGCACACACTCCACTTGCTTCACTACCTCTATGCAGATACCCTCACTGATTGACTTTGCAGCTGCAAGGCTACTCAATGCTATTCAAGCGTGGTCATTGCAACATTCACACTTGCTTTGCACAGAGAAGGGTTCTTTCTCCCACCCTGGATATTACTCCACAAATGTATATATACACTCTACTTGTTACCTCTATGCAGATACTCTCACTGATTGACTTTGCAGCTTCATGGCTACTCAGTGCTATTCAAGCTTGCTCATTGCAACATCCAGACTTGCTTTGCACAGGCAAGGGTTCTTTCTCCCCACTCTGGACATAATTCCACAGATATTGCTTGACTACCTCTTTGCAGAGACCTTCCAAGATGGACCTTGCATCTTCAAGGCTACTCAATGCTATTCAAGCTTGCTCATTGCAACATTAACACTTGCTTTGAACTGACAAGGGTTCTTTCTGCCACCCTGGACATAATTCCACAGATACACACACCTACTCCACTTGATTCACTACCTCTATGCAGAATACCCTTCCTGATTGACTTTGTAGCTGCAAGACTACCCAATGCTATTCAAACTTGCTCATTACAACATCCAGACTTGCTTTACGCAGACAAGGGTTTTTCCCCCCGCACCCTGGATATTATTCCATAGATGTATATATACACACTCTACTTGTTACCTCTAGGCAAATACCCTCACTGACTGACTCTAAGATCGTTTGGGGAGGCCCTGCTCTCAATCCCACCTTCCTTGCAGATGCATTTGGCGGGGACGAGAGAAAAGGCCTTCTCAATGGTGGCCCCTCAGCTATGGAACACCCTCCCCAGGGATATAAGATTGGCTCCCTCCCTTCTAACATTCAGCAAAATGGTTAAGACCTGGCACTATGCAATGGTATTCAAGCTTGCTCATTGCAACACCCACCCTTGCTTGAAACAGACATGGGTTTTTCCCCCACCCTGGACATTATTCCACAGGTATGTATAAACTTCAGTTGCCTCACTTCCAAAAGAACCTCTGAAGATGCCATTAGCAGGTGAAATGTCAGAAGAGCATGCTGCTGGAGCATCCGAAAAACTCACAGCAACCCAGAAAGATGTTTTGTTCTTAACTTAGATGCGAAGGCATCTAAAAAGACTGAAAATCGAAATGAGGCCGCAAGAGGGCGATAAATAGGCATAATCATACTATTCTGTAATATCTGGAAGAGAGAGATTAGCCGAAGTTTGCAAAACAAGTTTGGAAAAGGATTATCTGCTAATCTGGACGTTGTTGTCTCCGAAACGTTGACTTTTCTCTAGACATAGGACAAAGTCTGGTTGCTCTATGGTGTGATTCATTTCATACATTGCGGAGGTGTCGGCTGTCCAAAGGAAGAAGAAGTCTGTGGGTTGATCCACAATATGGTGCCTAGGCTGTGGTTGTCGCAAAGTGGAAACTTAAACCTCGAATGTGGTCAAAATAACTGTTGCTGTCATCATTCTGGAGGATCAAAGCTGTGATATGGAACTATCAATAACTGAATTTTCATCTAAAATACCCTTTTCTTTTCTCCATAG